TGAAAATACTTATTTGAAGGTTGAGTTTTTAGAATTGAGACTGAAATGAACTGCATTGATTGGAAGATCATTAAAATAACTAGTAATAAATTCCTTTTTATTTTTGTATTGCTGAATTTCTGTAAAAAAATGTCCAAGAGATGAGCGATAGAGATTGAGAAAGAGATGGATAGATTTGAGAAAGGGAGGCAGCCAGAGATTAAATAGCTAAAGGTTTTATCAACTGAATACCCTTTTAAATTAAGTTTTGTTCAATCTCTGTTTTTTTTTGCTTTCATATGTAAACTTTTTCACAAAACAGCACGAAAGAACAATAATGTATTCAATTAAGTATAATGCGTGAGAAGAGTGAGATGAATTGGAGGAAATGCTGCGAAAAAATTTCCTAAAGCACTTATTATTTATTTCCCGAATATAAATTTAATGCATTTAAAAATACTACATTTAAATGAGTTTTTGCATTGTTTTTTTCAAGGTTTTCGTGGTTTTTGTTAAACATTTAACAATTCAGAGTAGTTCGAAAAGTCGCAATTATTGCCAGGGTTCTAATTTTTTTTGTTATTACCTGATAAATATATCCCGAAAGGTTGTACAAAGCCGATTTCAAGTCGATCAGTGAATTTAGCCGTTTCGGAGTAGTTTTTCTCAACAATTCTTTAAAATGAGTTTGGAGAAAATCACTTTTATGATTTGAAAATCGATAAGTGGGATCTCATTTGGACAGTTCAGACTGTCTGTCTRTTGCGGTACCAAAAATTCCTTTATAATGGTTCTTAAACCCTTACAGATAGACAAAGCACTTTGAGCCTATCGAAAATTTGTTGAGATGGCTAATATTCTTCCTAGCTTCGACCCATCATAGCTCCTAGCCCATATGTTGAAAAAGCTCACTGCACTTATTCTCCACCGACTTAGAGTGGTCTCTGCKACGCAGTGATTCAAGTTTTCAAGAATAAACCTAATAACTCCCATATACTGGATCATAAACTTTGTACCTATCGAAAATTTKCCTATGCGAGTGATCTCTGCAACGCAGTGATCAAAATTTTCAGGAATACAGTTGAAAGCGAAGAAAATTTCGGCGTGTCCACCGGWGCTATGTTTAAAATGGAATTAAGCCCTTATGCTGTGATAGCTCGTAGTGCATCAAAGATGCCGATGAGAGCTTTGGATACGTTCAARCTTTTTAGCATGTATCGCCTCTTCGTGTGTTCTCCGCTAGACGAATACACCACGGTTGAATACGGTTGGTTTAACAGTACTTTAGGTGAGAGTGCCCACCTTTTTTCTGCAGCTTAAAAAATTTCTGGCCTCAATGAAGGCTTTTTATCAAGAATAAGCCCTTGTTTAGAAATTTTACTTTTCTTTAAAAAAACCTCGTCAGCGTAGGCTATCACCCGACAGCTTCGTTCCTTGAGCTGTTTAAGTAATAGTACAAGGACTGYTAAAATATGAATATGACCACTTAATATTCATATTTTAACAGTCTACTGATCTGAACTAAATCTTTTTTATTTCGTAGATCGCAGCTTTTACTATCTGCTAAAAGACGGTTAWCATTAGGAAACAACAACTTATCGTCACAATATTCGGTCTCATCGGCTCAGAATTCGGGCCCATGACCTTTCGTTTGGTAGTTCCATGCGCAGGTCACACTTCACTAGCAATCTAATACAAAATTTCCGCATTATTATATCATAATTATCTATCTATCTATCTATTGTTTTTGTGTGACTAATTTCTGCAATTATTTTGGCAATTAGCCAAGCCATTGCATAATTATCACAGCGTTAAGCACMTTGGTAAACTTTCAATAACAGCAAGACCTTTTGCTCAATAACTGCCAAGCGGTGAGGTTTTCACAAAACGTATTGCTAATATTCACGCTTTTACTCCTGCAACATAATCTGCAGAATGTGTTCTCAAAGGTAAAATCTATTCGCGTTTACTGGATATTTTAAGCATTTATGCATTTCAAGTAACTTCAGAGCAACTTCGACATCACCTACTCGCAGTTTAATTGCTCCAAACGCGATTCCAAAGGTTACCAAAGCAAAGTGTCCTGTTACGTAAGCAAAAATACGCAACGCAGAAGCATCTCACTCGAAATGCAATACAAATAGAGTATAAAACGCTTCAGCGTAAACTTTCTGATTGTGTTGCCGCGGCGTCCTGTGGACTTTGTGCTGCTCAATTTAACTCGTTTGAGTAGTTGCCAATTCATGGCGAATCGGAATCAAGTGCCGCTGGTTCAACAATTTCTCCACTCAACGACTGTGATGTACTGTTTGGTGCATACGTGGATACGAGTAGTCGCATACAAGCAAAGAGAAATGGAAGGGTTGGGTAAAGACGTGTATTAAATGGTTGTTGAAAAAAAAAAAGAAATAAATTTTTTCGAAGGAAATTGATAAAAATAGAGAATTTTTTTGAAATTATTTATGCTTATTTTCCCTAGTGTCATTTGTTCGTGAAAATTTTTGAATGACTTGAAATAAATATGTGTAAATAAACTGGTTCTTGCTTTGCAATATTTTAGATCAGTGAATTTCTTTCTATATATTCAAGTGCAAGGTTCTGCTTTCTTGAACTCTCAGCTTTAGTTGTGGGTTTCGAGACCTATTAACGTTACATTTGGGCCACCGTTTTGAGTGTAGCCGCTGCCAGGAGTATTAGGTGCAATACATAGAAACTAGTAAAAAATTGCTTGACATCAAAAAAGCTAAATTTCACATCCGTCAGAAACTAGCGGATACAGCGAAATATCTGGGGCTGATCCTGGATAGAAAGCGCTCATGGAAGCCGAATATCGAAGAGAGAGCAAAACAGGCATCGATTGCCTTGTGTTGGTATAGAAGAGCCGTTGGAAAGGGTGTGTGGTAGAAGGCTCTAGAAAAGACCACACTTGCAAAGAAATTCGAGAATGTTTAACGTCCACGCATGTGTGATACACTAAGGTCTAGTTAAACCATGAGTTTGGGTTCCTAAAAAGACACGTGTTTGAACACTCGGAAATCCTCACTCATTTTSACTTCGTACCGGATCACTCGGATCATGGCATCGCSAAAGCGAACTCTGGCGACTCCTTTTCCACCAATATACCGGCGAGTGAGTTGTAGGTGGAAAGAGGGTTGGAGAATAGGAACAGGGAGCCTCTTTACGGATGATTCAAAGCAGTTGGTGCTCCTGTATTCTCCTGTATTCATTAGTAGAAATCTGGGCTTCACGGAAGCTTGGCCAGCGCTGGACCATRCTCGGTGTATGCGCTGTCACAAAAGCCCTTTGGCTCAAGAGCGATACAAGTTACCTGATGCTTTTAACAGCCACTTTACCTAATGTAACCTGCCAAAAAGAAAAAAAAAAAAAAAACATAGAAAACGTTAAGCTATGATACCTTTCATAAATAGAATATAATCCTTATAATTTTACGAGTTTTGATCAGTTTGTATGGCAGCTGTATGCTATTGTGGTCCGATGASCAAGGTCTTGTTGGGGTGAAAAATTTTAGATCATTATCTTAAAATATGAGGGAGTGGTTCACATATATACAGAAAGATGGAAGGGTAACCTGACAGACAGGCGAACATGGTTAATCGTGCTCAGCTCGCTGACCACTTATACATATACATATACCTTTATAGGGTGCATGAGGSTTCCTTCAGAGTATTAAAAACATCGTGGTAAATTTAATATAGTCTGTTCAGGATATAAAAACTATTATTTAACACATTCTAATACAAATATGTARTATAAGCATATATTTAATACACATATTATACTTAATTAGAGCGCCATTCGTTAGTTTATCGGACTGTTTCGACGTCACATTTAAAAAACCAAGTCTTGTCACCAGTTATGATGCCTTTGATGATTTAGGGTATGTTGTCAAGCCCCTCTTGCAACGCTCCATAGTCTTAGTAAAAGATTGAGGTCCTTAGTTAATAGTTTAGCATGGATATACTTCATACCCAGAACTCTAACCAAAATGCGTTAAGTCGATTCATATGTAAGTGATGTTGAGATCTTCAGCTATCGCTCCGTTGCGCAGACTTTCTAGTAGTATCTTTAAAAAATTTTAAATATCACACGGGCATAATTAATACCATATTATACCAATTTAGAAAAAAATATATCGTTTCAATTTGTCCGCGCTGCTAATGGACCAGTCCCAATTAAAATTGCTTAGGTGATAGCTATTTGGTTATAGAGCTTATATAGGTCTAATTTGGTTGAATATACGGAAGTAAAACAAATTTCTTCGGTTCGACAAAGTATGAATTTCTTATGTTATACACGACATCGGCGGAAGTCAGATGTCTTCCTATGTAGGTATCTTTATAGCACACATAACACAGGGTATAGAGTATTGGAGCACCACTTGTAAGCACTAAGAGTATAACTCCTTATAACATAGCCGCATTCGAAGGGTAACTATCAATGTCACTCTATTTGCCCCTTCCGCTTCGAATAAAAGATAATCATTGGATCAGTTGAAGAAAAAGAAAATAATATCGCTACTGTTTTCGAAAGTAAACTAAAGGAAATGGTCATAAAAATGAGATTTTGCTTGTTATATCTTCTATTGAAAGTCTCCAGATATCATAAAAATTAAATTTAACCTGTTAACTCTTCTACTGAGATCATAAAAATAAGCTTTTTTTTTTATATATGCAAAACTAAACATTAAAAACACTAATTTAAAATGGAAGCATTATAAATAACATATATTTGAGTTTATTGCCCAATGTGTTACCCAAATGCTGTGCTAATTGCCGCCAACATAGTATTTCTGCTATAATTACAATGATCAATAATTTACTTCGTTAGCGTTTGATGATATCAGGTTTTATATCGGGCTTCATTTTGAATTACTTTAAAAGTAATTAACCACMACTAATGCTTATTCTGCCTATGATTGCTGAAACAGAATTTCAAATAGTTAGTATGCATTTTACCAAACGAAATTGAAAACATTTCCGCTGAAACACCCTCGTGCTAAGATGTATTACACAAAAATCTTGAGAATTATATTAACKGTTATTTTGTTGCAAAGCAAGCTGAAAAAAGTACAAGCTAAGGTGAGCCGATGCTACGTAAAATTTGTAACACTTTACATTTACCGTTGTAACTAATTTGCAGAGCAACTTTGAGCTCACCTATACTGAGTTCAATTGCACCGTTTTTGATCCGAAGGAATTTGTTGAGAAACTGTCATGTTCCATAAGCAAAAATACGAAGCGCAGCAGCCTCTTTATGGAGTTGGTATTTAAAAAGGACTTGAAACACTTCAACATTAATTTTCTTGTTGTTCTGCCGCGACGTCCTGTGAACTTTGTGYTGTTAAATTTAACCCATTTGAATGGCTGCCAATTGATGGCGAATAGGGTTCAAGTGCCGTTCGTGCAGATTTTGCTTAACTCGTTGAAACGCGTCAGCAACTTTATGCAGGGTTGTCCTTACAAGCGCGACACCCTGTACTATTTTCGTGGMTTACGCTTGAATTTGGATGCAATGCCGGCGGTGTCATTCGAAACCGACATGAAGTTGTGGGTGGATTTCATGTATGAACGTTCGAAGCTTTTTACATTCTACATMGATAGTCGCATACAGTTGAGACGGAAGGGGTCAGAGGCAAAGCAGGGAGCTTGATTTAAATAATTATGTAAATGCCTTGTGACTTGACGTAACTATTTTATGTAGATTTGAATGATTTTTACATTTGTCGCTAAGAACAAATAATGGTAGGAAACAATATTCTGCTGATTGTAATTTTATGACTTAATAAAGTTTGAGAAAAACTTACTCCAAGCAATGGCACAAAACTGATTTGTAATCGAGTTTTGACATAATAATAGACATGGATACAAATATAGACAAAGATATAGCGGAGAGAGACATAGTATGAATCTACCAAGCCGAGTAACCCATGTATGGGGTATTACAATAGGTTAATAAAGTTTTGATAGAGCGTACCCGATAGCATGGGGAAAAAAAACATTTCTTTAAAAACCGAAATTCTAAGAACGAATTGGTTACGGGTTGTCCTAACCTCACCTTGAGCCCACTTCTTTTTATAATTTCGAGATGCAATAATGTTTCGGCTCACAGTCCTATAATGTTGACAAAGTCTCATAGTATTGAAGAAATCGGGTATTTCCACCATAATTTAGTTTTTCGATACGATTTTAGTTATCAACATGGGTATTTTCAGTAAAAGAAGAAGAAGAAAAAAAATATTAAGAAAAAAGCATTCAAATATCTTCCACATTTTGAAAGCATATTCCCGAATTAATGCTAATCTGAGCGCCTTGCAAAAGCTTTCAAAAATACAACCGCTTCCACAGCTCAGAGACAGGGGAAGCACAATTCATAAACATACACATAAAGAGCTTTAAACTGCTCACATAACTATTCCATTCAACATGAGTGTAGCAAAGCCGWGTGCATCATTACTGAAGCTACAAACAACAAAATAAGTAGCACAAATTGGTTGCTCTTAACTCAACTTTAGTATGTTTATGGCTCTGGCTTTACGTTCACTTTTAATACCTGATGTATCCGGTTTGGTGTTTACCTTGACAATAATAAAAAGTATTATGGGTTCGCTTTTTACGAAAATTTTGTAAAATCTCTTGCTGCAAGATACTCGTTGCTATGGACCGTAAGAATGCGAGCATATTCTGAAGGTTTACGTCAACTTAACCTCTCATGCAAAAAAGTATGTGAAAAAGAAAAATTGAATATAAGTAATGCTATTGGGAGTGATGTACAAAGTATTTTAAATGCTTGTATGCTGAAGGAGCAAATATTGTTGCTGAAGTAAAATACTTTCTGATTTGATCAATGAAATTTTTATTTTTGGCTGCATTCTTAAAAATATTCAATTTGAATACCTACCTTTAGGAACCTTTAGCTTCAGAAAATTTAAAAAGTGRATTCGGTGGAATGCATAGTATGCGTAGAGGATGATGAAAAGCTAGAAAAATATCTTTGCCAATGTCCAGACATCAACCGGCTGAGATGGGATACCTACCATGGCTCCTAATGGTTCCAACTTCAGATAATTTATATTCATCAGATGGTGTGGAAAAAAATCAGAAGACAAAGTCCATTGAGTTCCTGGATAAGGCTTAATTTCGTTACCACGTGAGATCATAAATACCCTAATGATGAACGCCATTTTCAAAACCTTTAAGAAAAATGTTTTGAAAGTTCGATTTTCAAGAAGTAAAAGAGTTTCCATTTTCAATACTTTATTGTGATATGATTTAAGTTTAGGAGAGAACAAAATCAAACTTGGGGCAGAGGCCTCAGAAAACGGAAAGCGATAATTGGGAGTACTGTACTCTGAGATCTTCTATTATCTCTTTGATGTTAGCAACACCATTTTTAACGGCTGTTTCTTTAACGGTTTCGATRTTGTCGGCATTAACAGCAGTTGATATACGACTCGCTTCAGGTTCTCAGAAATATTGTCCTACATTTTCAAGTTGAACTGAGTAATAGTTTCGRAGATACAGCCKTGAGARCTTGTGCGCACGAGGCTAGCCAGGCTGAGTGCAYCGTGTTTAAAAGCATTTTTCTTAAAACTGTGTTTTTGAAGTCGGTTGGCAAGATTTCGCGATAACTATTCAACAGTTCTACATGAAATTTTACACAGGTCTTTGAGATGTAATTTTTAAAGATTTGGACGAAGGATTTTATTTTATTACAACTATTCGAATATTAATTTTTATG